GAGCTCCGCGCCGAGGAGGCGCCGCCGGCGCCGACGGGCGGCCGCGGGCTCCTCGACTCCGCGCGGAGCTTCTTCGCGCGCGCCGACGCGGACGACGGCGCGCCGGCGGCGGACGCGCCGGAGCCCGAGGCCTGGGACGTCGTCCGCGCGCTGCCGAGCGGCGACGCGCGGTGCGTGCTCCACCGCGCGCTCGGCGGCGAGGCCTCCGACGTGTGCTTCGACGAGGGCGGGACGCTGCTCGCCGCGGCGGCCTGCGGCGGGTCCGTCCACGTCTGGGAGGGCGTCGACGGTTTAGGCGCGACGCCGCCGCGGCCGCGCTTCACCGCGGCGCCCAAGGACAAGCGCGACGGCGGCGCGCTCTGCGTCGCCGCCTCCGCGGACGCCGTCGCCGCGGCCTTCGCGGGGCGGAGCCTCCGGCTCTGGGACGCGCGCAGTGGGCGGCTCCGCGTGGACCTGTCCAACGCCCACGGCGGGGCCGCGAAGATCTACGGCCTCGCGTTCCTCCGGCGGAGCCGCGTGTTGGTGACCGCGGCGACGGACCGGGCGGGAACAGAGTGCTTCAAGTTCGCTTCAACGTGAGTGTTTCGCGCGCGCGCGTTCCGGAGATAGCATCCACGCGTCGAGAGCGCTCCGACAGATGATCGCTCGTCCAAAAATTAGCCGAAACGAGTGGGAAACGCCCGAGATATGAGCCTCCAAAGTTGGGAATTTCGCACTCTTTTCCTGCCCAGGCGACGGACCGCTTCGTCAAGTTCTGGGACGTGAACCGCGCGTCCTGCACGCCGATGACGCCCGCGGCGCTCGGCGCTAGGCGGTCGCCGTCGGGCTGCCTGGCGCTGGACCCGCTGTCCGACGACCTGGTGGTCACGGGCCACCACGACGGCGCGCTGCGGGTCTTGGACGGCGCGGGACACGGGCGCGACATGCTCCTCGCTCGACCGTTTCCCACTCGTTGCGGCTGATCTTTGGACGAGCGATCATCGCTCGGAGCGTTCTCGAAGCGCGGATGCTTTTTTTGGAGCGCGCGCGCGCGAACCGCGAAGCGACGTTGAATCGCCCCGTTCCCCCCAGGTCTGGGACGCGCGGTCGCCGGACGTCGCGCTCGAGATCAAGGACGCGCACGGCTGCGCCGTCGCGGGCGTCGCCGCCGACGGCCGCACGTCCCAGCTCGCGTCCCTGGCCAAGGACCACACGCTCCGCGTCTTCGACGCGCGGACCGCGAGCCGGCTCCACGCGCTGTCGCACGACAACCTGCGGTGCGGCGCCGCGCGGTGCCGGCTCGCCTACTCGCCCTGCGGCACCTACGTCGCCGCGCCGTCGTCGACGGGCGACGCCCTCGTCTTCGACACGACGACGGGCCTCCTCGCCGCGCTCCTCGCGCCGCCGGGGCTCAACACGCCGCCCGTCGCGGCCGTCGCCTGGTCCCTCGCGCGGACGCGCGTCCAGCTCGCGACGGTCGACAAGGCCGGCGCGCTCGCGCTCTGGGACTAGGTTCTGGGACTAGGCGTCGCCCCGCGCGACGGCCGCGACGGCGGCCGCGAGCTCGGGGAAGGGCGGCGAGAAGAAGTGGCTCCGGCCGGGCAGCTCCGCGTACGCGCTGTCGAGGTTTTCCGCGACGTGGCGCGCCTCGGCGAGCGGGATGAAGGGGTCGTCGTCGCCGTGCCACTGGTGGATCGACCCGGCGTTGCGCCTGATGGCGGCCCAGTCCCAGGGCCGCGCGTAGTAGCCCGCGGCGCGCTCGCCCGCGTCGCCCAGGTCCGTCCAGCACGCGGACACGAGGCAGAGCGAGAGGACCCGCGTCGTCTCCGCGAGGCGCATGGCGGCCTCGGCGCCGGACGAGTGGCCGACGACGATGGTCCGCTCGTCGGCCCCGAGCTCGTCGCGCAGGAACGGCACCCAGATCGACTCGCGCGCGGCGACGGGGTCCGGCATGCCGCGCAGGACGACCTCGCCGAGGCAGTCCTCGCGCCTCAACTCGGCCGCGAGCCAGCCGTACCAGTTGGCGTCCGCGACGTCGCCCGTGCAGCCGTTGCCGGGGACGATGATGACGCGCGGCTTCAGGGCGTCCGTCGTGGTGAGCGCGGCCATGACCAGAAGTGCCGGGTATCGCATAGACGCTGCCGCGAAGGCGCTAGTTTAGGTGCAGGCGAATGCGCTCGTCTTGGAGAGCCCCTCTCATGCGCAAGGACTGCAACAATCGAGGAAACACCAGATGATGCAGATCTGATGCAGCCCGCAAAAAAATAATGGGCCTGCCATGGCTGGCGCCGCCGCGGTGGCTGGCGCCGCTGCTGGTCGCCCGCGGCGTCGACGCCGCGAGCCTCGTCTGGGACGGCATGGAGCGCGACGATCCGACCTTCGACGCCCAGGCCTCCGAGCTCGTCTACGGCGACACGTCCGAAGGCTACCTCAACGTCTCCAAGGTCGGCGACGCCGTTTCCGGCGCCGCGAGCTTGAGAGTGGACTACGAGGTCGTGCAGGCCGAGGGCTGGGGCGGCTTCGCGCAGTACAGCCGCGTCTTCGGCGGCGCGATGCTCGACTGCTCCGGCGCGACGGAGATCTCCTTCTGGTACAACAACGTCGCGGCGCAGTCCGCGGCGACCCGGGCCCACCTGCGCCTCATCGTCCACGAGTGCGAGGGCGAAGACGGCTGCCTCGTCGAGAACGCCGCCGGGGCCTGGGCGTCGTCGGACGACGTCGAGAACCACTACGCGTTCTTCGGAGTTTTGGACGACGCGCCGGGCTGGCGCCGCGCGGCCGTCGCCGTCGACGAGCTCGTCTTCACGGGCTGGTCGGGCACGGCCGACGGCGACCAGGCCTTCGACCCGGGCGCCATCGTCGAGTACACGTTCCAGTTCTCCGTCGACGCCGAGGGCGCGATCCTCTCGAGCACTGCGGGCGCGATCCTGTTGGACCGGCTCGCGTGCGACGGGCCCGACGACCTCGTCTTCGCGCCCCTCGCGGCGTCGCCGGCGGCATACTACGGCTGGGTCGCGGACGCGGGCACGAACCTGTCGACGTCGACAAACGGGCTCCGGCTCGCGGGCACCGGCGCCGTCGCCGCGACGCTGACGCTGCCGGCGCCGGCCTTCTACGAGGGCCTGAACGCGTCCTACCTCAGCGTCGGCGCGCGCGGGTCCAACGCGACCGCCAACGTGACCACGCGCCTCGACGGGGCCGACCTCGCGGCGCTGACCGTAAAGGTCGGCGACGGCCGCAACGAGACCGTCGCGCTCGCGGCGACGGGCGCGACGTTCGATGGCCTCGGCCTCGCGGCGACGGGCGCGGGCGCCTTCGCCGCGACCTTCGCCGCCGTCGCCGCCGACGACGGCGGCGCGGCGGCGGGCGGCGCGAGCAACTCGACGGACTGCATGGAGGTCACGGCGGCCTACTGGTACGACATCCCGCAGACGCACAGCTACCAGGCGTCGACGTGCTGCGACATCTGCGCGGCGGAGGAGGGCTGCAACTACTACCAGACCGACGAGGTCCACTGCTACACGACGGACGCGCTCGGCGAGGTCGTGCTGCGGAACGCGAGCACGGACGACCGGCTGCGGAGCTACTACAAGAACTGGCTCGCCCCCGTCTGCGACGTCTGCGCCTGCGACGCCGCGACGGGCTACGTGAACTGCTCGTCGCGGGGCCTGGCGACGATCCCCGAATCCGCCGCCGTCGACTTTGCGCCCGCCGTCGTCGACTACACGGGCAACGCGGAGCTGGCCGTCCTCGACATCTTCATCCCGCCGAACCTCGGCAACCGCACGGTCCGGCTCGTCGCCGTCGACACGAACGCGCAGTACCTCTCCGTGTCCGTCGGCGCCGGGTCGTCGCTGGAGCTCGCGTTCGTCGGCGACCTGACCCGCGTCGTCAACCTGGCCACGGACACGCAGCGCTTCGGCGACGTCTGCTGCGCCAAGGGCGCCGCGACGGCCATCCGGGACGTCGCCGGCGCGCCGGCCTACCTGTGCGTCATGGAGGACTTCTCGCCCGGCATCGACGCGTCCTACGAGACGCGGCGGGACTACATGGGCAGCGACCTGGGCAAGAAAATCACGGCGGAGACGGACTTCTACGCGTCGGCCATCGACAGCGCGAACGCGTGCGCGGAGTGGTGCCACATGATCGACTACTGCGAGTACTTCACGTACGACGGCCGCGACGACGCCGGCGGCCTCGAGTGCTACCTCTACACGGACAACTCCGTGGTCGTGGAGTCGAGCTTCGACGAGTTCGTGTCCGGCTACCCGGCGCGCGTCCGGGCCACGGTCGACGACGCGCAGGTCCACGTCCACCCCGACGTCGTGCCGTTGACGTACGACGCGGGCCAGACGGTCATCTACGCGTCCTACGAGGTGTTCCTGGGGTCGAGGCCGACGCGGGGCGCCGTCTGGATCACGCCGGAGATCCCCGAGGAGAAGTGGCTCGAGCACGGGACCTACCGCTTCATCCCGGAGACCGTGGTCTTGTACGCGGACGACGACTGGGCCGATCGGGTCAACGTGACGCTCGCGCTGAACCTCACGGCCGTGCTCGTCTCCGTCTTGGATGGCATCGCCGCGGGCACGTCGCAGGCGGACCAGGGCGGCGAGGACTGGTCCATCCGGGTGTCGCACCGCGTGGAGTCGTGCGACGTCGCGTTCGCCGAGTCGACGGACGTGTCCGCGGAGCTCGTCATGGAGCAGGTCTGGCTCACGGAGTACTGCGCCGCGGGCGAGGTGCTGACGATCAGCGACGGCGCCATCGCCTGCGCGGCCTGCGGCCCGGGCACGTACGCGGCCGACGGCGCGTGCCAGCCGTGCGCGCCGGGCTCGTACAACGCGGGGCAGGAAAAGGGTGATTCAACGTCGCTTCAACGTGAGTGTTCCGCGCGCGCGCGTTTCGGAAACAGCACCCACGCTTCGAGAGCGCTCCGAGAGATGATCGCTCGTCCAAAAATCAGCCGAAACGAGCGGGAAACGACCGAGATCGGAGCCTTTGAAGTTGGGAATTTCGCACCCTTTTCCTGCCCAGGTACAACGACGGGTCCGCGGCCGCGGCCTGCCTCCCCTGCGACGCGCGGTCCTTCGCGCCGCACAACGGCTCCGAGGCCTGCTCGTCCTGCCCGGCGAACACGGAGCGGCCCGACGGCGCGCCGGGCGTGGCCGAGGCCGAGTGCGCGTGCGAGCGGGGCTACTGCGCCGAGGGCGACTGCTCCACGGCCGCCCCCTTCGCGGCCTGCGAGGCGACGCGCATGAACGACGCGACGGGCGAGGTCGTGCAGGGCGCCTGCGTGGACCCGTCGACGGGCACGGGCGCCTTCACGGTCCACAACGCGACGGGCGTCGCGTGCTCGGCGTGCCCGCGCGGCGGCGTCTGCCTCGGCGGCCTGGCCCTGCCCTACCCGGCGGCGGGCTACAGCGGCGTCGCCTACCCGCTGAACGCAAACGGCGAGCGCTACGTGCCCGACGACTGGGGCCGGGTCGCGTTCCGCGAGTGCGCGGACGACGGCCGCTGCAAGCGCGACTTCGAGTGCGCGCGCGCGTTCCAGGGGCTGCTCTGCGACGACGAGGCCGACGGCTACTTCTCCTTCGGCGGCTACGTCATGCGCTGCGGCTTCTCCACGTCCAAGGTCGCGCGCGCGCGGCAGGTCGCGACGACGTCCGTCGCCATCGCGGGCGTCGTCGCGCTCTTCTTCTGGATCAACTTCGGGCTCCAGGAGTACGCGGCGCTGGGCATCTGCTTCGAGAATCTACGGACCCTGGCGGTCATCGCGGGCGCGAACGCCGACTGGCCCGAGGCCATCGCGGGCGTGGGCTTCTGGTTCTCGTTCTTCGACTTCTCGCAGTTCGACGTCGACGTCGTCGAGCCGTCGTGCCTCCTGGGCTCCTGGGGCTTCGTCGAGAAGTTCGCGATCCAGTGGAGCCTGCTCGCGGCCATGGTCGCCTTCTACTTTGCGTCCTCCCACCTCCGCGCGCGGTCCGAGGGCGTCGCGCGGCCGGCGCGGCGGTCGCCGTCGGCGCGCGGCCGCGGGAGCCTCACGGCCGAGGACGAGGCCAGGGCCCTCGCGCTGCTCTGGTTCGACAAGGTCATCGGCGCGACGAAGGGCCAGGCCGTCGCCAACTCCATCGGCGTCGCGATCATCTCCTACCCGTCGCTCGTCGAGAACGCGTACGCGACGTTCATGTGCTCCGAGTACGCGAACGGCGCGTCGTACCTCGCCGCGGACCTGTCGATCCGCTGCTACTCGCGCGAGTGGACGGCGCTGGCGGCGCTGAGCGGCCTGGCGGTGCCCGTGCTCTACGGGTTCCCCGTCTGCATCCTGCTCATCATCAACCAGAAGATCCGGAGGCGGGAGCTGAACCGCGACGACGCGCTCGAGCGCTTCGGCGGCCTCTACGCGCAGTACGACGCGGAGAGCCTCTGGTGGTCCGTCGTCGGGCTCTTCAAGGTGCTGCTCCTCACGATCGCGCAGGTCCTGCTCGACAACCAGCCCCACGTGCAGCACTGGATGATGCTCATGATCTGCGTGCTCGCGCTCGCGCTCCACCTCTTCAAAAGACCGTTCCTCCGCCAGTCCTTCAACTTCCTCGAGGGGCTGCTCCTCGTCGTCGCCGTGCTCTTCATCGGCGCGGCGCCGCTCTTCTCCTGGCAGAAGCTGGGCAACCGGCGGTCCGTGCTCCGCGCCTTCGCGTGGGTGCTGAGCGCGCTGTTCCTCGCCTGCATGGCCATCACGCTCCGCATCATCATGAAGGACGTCCGGGAGGTCGCGACGTCGCACCGCGCGGAGCGGCACCTCCGGCCGCTGCTGAAGGCGAGCGAGCGGCGGCGGCGCCGGTCCGCGGACGACGCGGCGAGCCCGCTGGACCGGAGCTCCTTCGAGTCGCGGCGCGCGGCGAAGCCGGCGGGCCCGCTCGCGACGCTGAAGTCGCGCGTCGACCGGCGGCGGTCGCGCCTCGCGGACGTCCGCGCGAAAGTCGACGGCCTCTTCGCCAAAAACCAGGCGCCCGAGGGGAAGCGCCGCTCCTTCTTCGAGCTCGTCGCGACGAAGCTCCGGCGGCGCCTCGCCGACCTCGCGGGCGGCGACGACGGCGCGCGGCTCGCGGAGCTGCACCGCACGCTCCACGGCGACGCGCTGCTCCAGTGGGCCTCCTGGGCCGAGCGCGCGTCGAAGACCGACGCGCGCGACGTCGTCGACGGGACGCTGACGGCCATGAAGAAGCTCGACGGCTTCGTCGCGCCCGCGGTGGCCGACGAGAACGTCGCGGCGCACTACTCGCTCGACGCGGAGGGCCGGCTCTGGCGGCGGCTGCTGCGCGCCTTCCCGGACATCCTGGAGTGGCTCGCGGACGCCGACGAGCACCTGGTCGTGGACCTGAAGGTGCTGCTGGGGCGCTTCATCACGGCCGGCGTCGCGGACGAGCGGGGGCCGACGCGCGTCGGGTACGCGCGCTACGTCGTCAAGCAGGACCGCGCGGCGGTGCTGCGGTTCCTCGTGCTCTGCGAGCCGCCGCTGCGCCGCGCCTTCTTCGACATCCTCGACTCGCTGGCCGCGGTCGACGGCGCCTACCGGCCCTACGACGAGCGCGCGACGGCGGATCCGGCCGTGCCCCGGGGCTACCTCCGCCGCGCGACGGCGCGCGACCAGCTCTTCGCGCTGCGCGGGAACAGCGAGATCGACGCGGCCGTGCTCAAGGACGTCGAGTCGCTCGCGTCCGCGTCGACGACCGACGCCGCGGCGGCCGTCGCGCTCTCCGCGCGCGGGTCGTCGCCGCACGCCGCGACGCCCCACTTCGACTCGCAGCGGCGCCAGCGCGACGACGTCGACGAGGCCGCGAAGCACCGCTTCCGCCACATGCTCAAGGCCGTCGCGGGCCGCGACGAGCCCGCCGCGCCGGCGACGTGCGGGGCCTGCGTCGACGGCGCGTCGTGCCTGCCGACGCGCGCGCCGGACGCGGGAGCGGCGCCGCCGCCGAAGGACGAGGGGGGCGTCGCCCTCGCCGACGACGACGACCGGGGCGAACTTAAGGTCTAGGACCCCCGGCGACGCCGCTCGAAGGTGTAGGAAACCCCCGGCCACGCCGCTCGGCATGATATACGGGCCGAGATTTGTTGGTGCCAACGCTGCTCGACGCTGCCCGGCGCCGTCGGCGGCCATGGCCGTGGCCATGACCATGACGCGCACGACGGACTCGCTGACGTCGAGCGCCACGAGGGCGACGGCGGACGACGAGCTGCCGCGGTCGCGCATCGTCGCCGCCCAGCGCACGTCGGCGTCCCTGCTGCGGTCCGCGTCGGCGCACCCCGGCGGCCTGCTGGCGCGGTCCCTGTCGAGCGTGGGCCCGCGCCTGTCGGCGGCGTCGCTCCTGAGCCTCGAGGGCGAGGAGGAGCGGCAGATGACGCGGACGTCGGCGCGGACGTCGCTGCACGCGTCGCGGAGCGCGCCGTCGCTCCGATCGCGGAGCGCGCCCGACGCCGACGGCGGCGTCGCGCGGGCCAAGGCCCGGGCGGAGCTGCGGGCGGCCTTCGGCGCCGCCGCCGAGGGCGCGGGCCTGCCCGCGGGGCGGCTCGAGGACGCGCTCCGGGCCCTCGACGCGGGCGCGGCGCCTCCGCCGGACCGCGCGAGCCGAGCGAGCCGGGGGAGCCGCGCGGAGAGCCTCGAGGTCGAGGTCGCGGGCTTCGTGCGGCGGGCGGCCCTCGACCCGACGCAGTGCCTGAGCTTCGACGACTTCCTCGGCGCCGCGGCGCGGCTCCGGCCGCGGGCTTTGGCGGCCGCGGGCTACGGGCCCGAGCAAGTCGCGCGGCTCGGCAAGAAATTCGTCGAGACGCCCTTCGACGTCCTGCGGCGCAAGCAGGCGTCCGTGGGCCGCTTCGACTTTGGCGCCGAGGCCGCGAGCGGCGCGCACCGCGACGCCGAGGTCGCGGCGCGGGAGGCCGCGCGGTCCGGGTGGCAGGGCGACGCCGGCGAGGAGCTGCCGGAGGCGTCCAAGGCCGCGCGGCAGCGCGAGCGCACGCTCAAGCGCATGGAGATCGAGTCGATCCAGCGCGACGAGCGCGCGTTGGAGAAGTGGAAGCAGGCGGAGAAGCAGCGCAAGTACGAGGTCAAGAAGGCGCAGAAGATCATCGAGAAGAAGCGCGAGGACGGCATCGACGTGTCCGACGAGGACGCCGCGGCCGCGCTCGCGGCCATCCCGCCCCTCAAGCCGCGGCCCATGGACCCGCTGCCCATGCCGGAGAAGGCGCCCATCCACGAGCGGCTCCACGAGTGGCGCCTCGAGCGCGCGGAGGTCGCGGACGCCGCGGCGAAGTGCGCTTTGGACGCGTCGCGGAAGCAGGCCTACGCGCCGCCGCCGGAGCCCGTCGTCGTCAAGGGCCGGCGCGGGTCGAGCATGCGCGGCCAGCCCGGCGCGTCGGCGACGCCCAAGCGGGGCCGGCGGCCGGACTACAAGCCCGCGGACTTCCCGCCGCCCGACGCGGCCGTCGTCGCGCCGACGCTCGACGCGCGGCGCCGCGTCGTCGGCGCGCGGCGCCGCGCCGAGCGCCAGACCTGGAAGCGGCGGGCGGACTTACGGACCCTCGGGTCGACGCTCGCCTGCAACGTCGGCCTCGTGCAGCGGCACCTCGGCGACGAGGCGTGCCGGCGGAAGCGCGGGAGCCTGCAGCACGCGTTAACGCTCTACGCGCGCGAGGCGCGCGCCGTGGAGAACGTGGCCCAGGAGCGCATGGACGCGGCGCGGGACGCGGCCGCGGGCGCGAAGCGCGAGAACCGCCTCGAGAGCCGCCGCGATCTGGAGGCCAAGGTCGCCGACGTCCGCGCGACGATCAGGGGCGTCGCCGACGAGAAGCGGCGCACGGGCCGCAAGTTCGCCCTCACGCCGGGCATCTTCTCGTCCCTCATCGCGCCCGACGAGGAGAGCCGCCGCCGGCGCCGCGAGGCGAACCTGCTCTCCGAGTGGCGCGCGGCGGTGCAGGACGAGCGCCACCGCGTCGAGACGCTCCGGTCCACGAATTTGGACCACTACGCCGACGAGCGGCTCTCGCCCTACGTCCACTACCGCGGGCCGAAGAACCGCGAGGAGCTCGGCACCGCGAGCTCGCTCGTCGACGGCTCCGGCGTCTTCAAGGAGGCGCCGCCGCCGCCCGACGCCGCGGACCCGTTCCGGGGCATCTTCAAGCCCCTCGACGACCCGGCCTACGAGTCGAACCTCATGGACCTCTCCCGGAACCCGTTCCTCCGCCAGCCCTCGAACCTGGAGCACCTCAGCGACCTCCGGGGCATGGAGCACCTCGGCTCCTGGGAGGTGAGCGACGGCATCCACAACGACGACTCCGTCCTCGTCCCGGGCACGTCCCTCCCGCCGTCGATGATGTCCGCCGACCGCATCTACCGGCCCAAGCCCCGCAAGGAGCCCATCCGCCTCTAACGCTCTCGAGAGTTCGAAGGCTTGTCCACGGGGCGTCTAAGGGGCGTCGACAGCGCCCCTTCAACACCTAGGTCAACACCGGGTCAACATCGCGTCTTTTCTCAACCCAGCCAATCTGTGACGCGACGAGCCTGCCGGAGCACCGCGCCCGCCGCCATGAGCAGCAAGCTGAGCCAGGAGAAGCTCGTGGCCGGCGCGGCCTGCGCCGTCGCGGCGCTCGCGGCGCTCGCCTACCGCAGGCTCTGCCGTAAGGTCGCGGCCCTCGAGGCCAAGGACCAGATGCGCGAGTTCGCGGCCTACTACACGCGCGGCGTCGACCGCCTCGACCCGAAGATGATCCTCGCGGCCTTCGAGCCCGACGCGACCATGGACATCCCGAACCTGCCCCAGCCCGTGCCCGTGTCCGAGTTCGCGGTCGGCGCCACGGACTTCTTGAAAAAGACGCTCGTCGCGACGCAGCACTGCGTGTCCAACGCCATCGTCGTGCTGGCGCCCGACGGGAAAACGGCGCGGTCCGAGATCTACTTCATCGCCCACCACTGGAAGAACGTCGACGGCCAGGTGGTCAACGCGGGCGTCAACGGCCGCTACCTCGACGCGTGGACCAGGGGATCGGACGGCGTCTTCCGCATCGCGAAGCGCAAGCTCCTCTACGACTTCCAGGGCGCGCTGTGGAACAAGGCCGTCGAGGACGCGGCGAAGAACGACGGCCTCGCGTCCAAGCCCAGCGTCGCGCGGCCCGAGAACATCGGCAGCCGCGACAAAAGCGACTACTCCTACCTCCACCTCGGCCCGCTCTACTAGGCGCCCTAACAAGCGCCCGGCTTACTCGAGGAGGTAGTCGGAGATCTGGATCTCGGGCTTGCCCTCGTCGGCGAAGTCGCCCTCGAAGCGGCGCCGCCGCCAGTAGCCGTAGGAAAAGGGCCCGTAGCGGGGCGCGTTTCCCGCGAGGGGCCGCACCTCGGCGTCGTAGGCCGGGTTGTAGAAGAAGGGCGCGCTGAACCGCTCGGCTCCCGGCGCCGACGCGAGCACGCGGTGCTCGGGCGCGCGGTACGCGCCGTTCGAGAGCACCTGGAGCATGTCGCCCACCTGTGTGGAAAACAAATCTTCAACCCGACTTCAATGTTCGCGTATTCGACGGTTTCGACGCGAGGCTTTCTGCCATGCTTCGAGAACTCGACGAAAGCAATCGATGCGTCCAAAAATCAGACGAATCGACGTCGATTTGACCGAGATAGAGAGTTCTGAAGTTTGGTGGGGACCCCCCAAACCAGTGGTTGATTTCCACACAGTCGCCCACGTTGACCGTGAGCGCGCCGGCCACGGGGTCCACGGACGCCCATCTCGGCGCGCCGCCCGCGTGGGCGCGCACGTTCACCTGGAGGGCGCTGCAGCTCGGGTCCTGGTAGAGCAGCGTCAGGCACCCGGCGTCGAAGTGGCGGTTCACGCCGAGCCGCGGGCCGCCGAGCGCTTCGAGCGGCGTCGCCTGGTCGTCCTCGGCGCCGGCCGCGAGGCGCTCGTCGTCCAAATTCGCATCCGCCGCCGCGAACCTCGCCCCGGCGTGCGGCGGGTAGTAGTTCATCCGCAGGTACGACGTGTGGCCGCCGCCGAACAACCCGTCGAACGCGCCGGGGTCCAGGTCCAGCGACGCCGCGACGCCGCGGAGCAGGCCGTCGCAGACGCGCGCGCAGGCGTCGTAGTAGGCCTCGACGGCGCCCGCGAAGCCCGGCAGGCCGTCGGGGAGCTGGTTGTGGCCTGGGCAGCAAAAGGGTGCGAAATTCCCAACTTCAAAGGCTCCTATCTCGGTCGTTTTCCGCTCGTTTCGGCTGATTTTTGGACGAGCGATCGTCTCTCGGGACGGTCTCGAAGCATGGACGCTTTTTCCGGAACGCGCGCGCGCGGAACACTCACGTTGAAGCGACGTTGAATCACCCTTTTGCTGCCCTGGTTGTGGCCGTCGAGGACGACGTTCTCGGGAGCGTCCGGCGGCAAGTCGCGGCGCGGGCGGTGGCCGTAGTCGTACATCTCCTTGACGTCCCGCGTCCGCTTCGTGAACTCGTCGTCCGCGTAGCCCCGCGAGTTCGTCGCCGTCCGCTTGACGCGCCGCTTCTGCTCCGGCGTTTGTCGCGCGAAGAAATCGCGCATCGCGGCCTCGAAGTTTGCGATGACGGCCGCGGGCACGCCGTGGTTGACGACGTGGAAGAAGCCCGGCGACGCGCAGGCGCGGCCGAGGGCGCGCACGTCGGTTTCGTCGTACTCGCCGCGCATGAGCCGCGCGATGTCGAGCACGGGGATGTCGTCGTCCGTGAGCGCCTCGGGGCGCGGCGGCGGCGGGGCGCTCCGGTGCTTCGGCTGCAGCGATGCCTGCGCAGCGGCGATGGAAGCGACGACGCATGCGAGGCGCGCCATACCGCCGGGCGCCTGGAATCCCAGCGCCACGCCCAAGCCTTGGGAGGCTTAGCTAATTAGGCCGAGCGAGCAGGGCATCTTGAACTACCACACTTCGCGAAGCCTCCGGATCCGCGCGCCCGCCCCTCGACCGCGCGCGCGCGCGCGCGTCCGCGGCGCTCACTCGGCCGTGCGCTTCTCCATCTTGCGGAGGCGGACGAGGTCGGCCTTGGCCTTGGCGAGCGCGGGCCCGCGGACGTCGGCGGCGAGCGCGGCCTCGAGGTCCTCGATGGCCTCGAGGCGGTGGCCGAGCTTCTCGAGCGCGTTCGCGCGGCGCACGAGGGCCTTGACGTAGGCGCCCTCGAGGGCGAGGCAGGAGCTGCAGTCCGTGACGACCGCGACGTGCGAGCCGCGCTTGGCGTGCGCGGCGGCCCGGTTCGCGTAGAGCGCGGCCTTGCCCTCGGGCGCGTCGGGCGCCTCGTCGAGGGCGGCGCTGTACTTGGCGATGGCGCCCGCGTAGTCGCCGGCCCGGAAGGCCTCGTTCCCCAAATCCTCGAGCTCCGCGGCCGGGCTCGCCTCCCACTCCCACGACGCGACTTTCACCCACCCGTCGTCCTCGTCGGGCCCGGTCGGCGCCGCCGCCTTGGGCGCGCTCGTCGGGGTCCGCCGACCCTTGGGCGCGCGCGCCCCGCGCGCGGGGCCCGGCGCCTCGTCGAGGTCGAAGAAGCCGTCGACGTCCGCCTCGAGGACGACCGCCGCCATGGGGAGGTCCGCGTCGCCGGGCCGCGGGGCGGGCGGCGCCCCGCGCGAAGCTCGCGCCTCGGCGCCTCTCGTCGCGCCCGCGTCGCGCGAGGTCCGCGGCGCGTTGAGCCCGAAGCCACACGTAGAAGCTTCGGGCGCGCTCAATCTCTTCCGAGTACAACTCAACCTTGGAAGACTCGACGTTTCTACGGCCGATACGGACGGAAAGGTGCGATGATTTAAGCAATAAAAACCCTCTCCGACAGCGCCGACGCGCGGCGCGCGGCGCAGCACGCGGCCCGGCCGCCGGCGCCGCCCCCCCCGGGGATTTGTGCGCGCTCGGGACGGTCTCGGGCTCCCAAAAACGACCGAAAAGGAGGGGCTTTCGGACGACGATGGTGCAGGCCGCCCCCCACGCCGAGGACGAGGAGTCGCAAAAGCCCACGATCGTGCGCATCCCGCGGAAGAAGCGCTACAGCAAGTACCGCGCCCTGCCGCCGTCGCCGGCCTTCAGCGCGCCGACGGACTTCAAGAAGCAGCACGGCGTCACGCTGGGCCGCGCGCCGCGGCCGTGCCTGCTGCCCGGCCCTCAGCCGTACGAGTACAGCCGGAACGTGCACCAGCTGCCGGCGGAGCCCGGCCCGGGCGAGTACGACCCGCGGGCCGTGCTCGGCGACGGCGAGCACTTCATCGTCGACATGCCCGACGGCTACCCGAGCCAGCTGGGACGCGAGGCGCTCGAGGCGCGGCTCCGCGAGCTGCGGAACCGCGTCGACGAGCTCCACGCGGTGCGGGACCCGAGCGGCGGCGGGCGCAACCCGTCCCAGAAGACGGTGCTGCGCATCGAGGCGGCCCACAGCATGCGGCGCTACCAGCGCGAGCTCGCGGAGACGCGATTGTTGCTCCGGCACCTCGCGGCGATCGAGCGCGACGAGCGCGCGGGCACGCCCTCCCCCGACTCGGCGACCCTCAAGTCGACGGGCTCGACGCTCTTCACGACGACGTCCATGGCCGCGTCGCGCGCCATCTCGCGCCAGGGGTCCTTCCCGCTGACGGTGACGGCGTCCCGCTTCGACTGGATGCCCTAGCGCCCGCCGCGCGAGACGCGCGGCGTCCTAACCTTATCTTCGGCGGCGGCGCCCGCGCGGCGCTCTTTGTGCGGTTTGATCGAAGGCGGCGCCCCCGAACTCGTCGCGGGCCTCTCGAGAGCTCGTTGATGCGATCACAAGTTCAACGTGCATGATTGAAAAATTCAAACGCGTTCGGAAATAATTCTGCAGCCCATCGGCTGCCGCAAGCCTGTAGTCCCCTTTGTTCTGCGCAAAGCGGCGTCCGCGGCGCGCGTACGCGCGCGCGATGCGCCCGCCGCCTCGGCGCGCGCGCGCGACGCGCGCCGCCCCGCGCGGCGCGCGCGCCCGCGCGCGATGACGGGACCCCACGCGCAGGCCGCCCCGCCATCATGTCCCCCGTCGCGCTGCTCCTGCTGCCCGCCCTCTTCGGCTCCGCCGCGGGCCACGCCATGATGACCGTGCCGCCCGGGCGCCAGTTCGTCCACGGCGTGTCCATCGACCCCAAGGTGCCCGGCGACGACGGCTACTCGACGCTCCTTGCGAGCCCGCGCGCCGCGGCGTCGGCGGCCGCGCCTCGCCCGCGACCGCGCGCCCCCCCCGCCGCAGGGCCTGGACCGACTCCGCGTCGCTCAACGCGGGCATCGGCGGCGGCGCCGGGGGCAAGGCCGTCGCGAAGGCGCGCGGCCACGGCCTCTGCGGCGACGACGGCGGCCGCGCGCTCTTCTCGTCGCCGGGCTCGGCCTACGGCGCGGCCGCGCCGACGGCCACCTGGACCGAGGGCGCCACCGTCGACATCGAGGTTGTGGTGACGGCGCACCACCTCGGCTGGTTCGAGTTCCGCCTCTGCGCCGAGGACCCCGCTGCGTCGGAGCTCACGCAGGCGTGCCTCAACGAGCACGTGCTCAAGTTCGACGCGGCCCACGCCCGCGCGCTCTACGACGAGGAACACTTTGCCCAGGGCGTCATCATCCCCGTCGGCGCGCCCGAGCGCGCGGACGCGACGGACTACCTCGGCGACGCGACGAAGTACCGCAACGTGCACACGCAGTGCGCCGCGCCGCGCCGGCGTCCCGCGGCCGCGACGACGTTCGAGCGATGCCGACCGGGGAAACGACGAGACGTCGCCACCGAGGTGTCGTAGGCGCTCGCCGAGCTGGACGCGGCCGGCGCGTCGTTCGCCGGCGTCGTCGACGGGACCTGCTGCACCAACGGCGGGTCCTGCTCGCCGGAGGACGCGAACGAGGACCGCTTCATGGTGCCCGACTTTGGCCGCGAGGAGACGTACGCGTTGCGCTACGTCCTGCCGGCGGGCGTGACCTGCGACCACTGCACGCTCCAGTTCACCTACGTGACGGGCAACTCGGTCGGCCGGCCGGCGTCTCCGAACGGCGGTGTCCCGCGAACTGTTGACGACGTAGGTCGACAACTACCCCGAGGCGTTCTGGAATTGCGCGGACGTCGCCATCGTCGCCGACGGCGCGCCGACGGCCGCGCCCCAGGCCGTCGTCGCGCCGGCGCCCACGGACTCTGCTTCCGAGCCGCCGACCGGCGACCCGCGGAGCCGCTGCTGCTGGTGGACGGTCGACGACCCCCTGGGCGACCAGTGCGCGTCGTGCGACTCCGCGCTCGAGGCGTCGTGCGCCGCGTCCCGGAGCAAGTGCGAGGGCGAGTGCGGCGGCACGTACTGCCCCTACGACGCGTCGTGGACGCCCGCGCCGTCCGCCGCCGCCGCGTCCGCGGGCTGCCGCTGCGGGGCGATCTCGGCGCTCGACAGCGACGCGTGGTGCGAGGGCGTCGCCTGCGACGCGGCCTACGCGGACTTTTGCGCGCTCTGCTGCCCGGACTCGGACCCGGCCCCCGCGCCGACGGCGTCCGGCGAGCCGGGATGCGTCGACAGCACGTCGTGGTACTACAAGAAGAGCAAGAACACGTGCGAGAAGTACGTCACGAAGAAATCGAAGAACTGCAAAAAAGAAGGACGAATCAGGTCCGCCGACGCTTCGAACTCGCGCGCGCCGGAAGCTCGCCCCCGTAGGTGAAAGCCGAGGACGCCTGTCTCAGCACGTGCGGTGATTGCTACGACGCGCCCGTCCCGGCGCCGACCGCGGCCGAGTGCGCCGATAGCACGTCCTGGTACTGGAAGAAAAGCAAGAACACGTGCGAAGGCTACGTCACGAAGAAGGCGAAGAATTGCAAGAAGGTGCCAAAATCTAACATAATTTACAGAGTTGATAAATTCTGTATCCCACAGGCGGACGACGACGGTGTCGAGGCGACCCGCGCCTGCTTGATGACGTGCAACCAATGCGACGTCGAGGACGCGCCGGCGCCCGCGCCGACGGCGTCGCAGTGCGCCGACAGCACGTCCTGGTACTACAAGAAGGCCAAGAACTCCTGCGAGCGCTGCGCGGCGTCCTGACGGCTTTCGAGAGATGGACATCGACGAAACGTCGTCATCGTCGCGCGCGATAGGCGCTACGTCACGAAGAAGAGCAAGAATTGCAAGAAGAAGGACGAGTTCAAAGCGGACGCCGGCGTCGAGCGAGAGATCTTCCCGCAAACGACAGAAACCCGTCACCGTAGGTGAAAGCCGACGACGCCTGCTTGCGAACCTGCGGCGGCTGCGACGGGGACGCGCTCGCGCCGACGGCGAAACCCGTCGCCGCGCCCGCGCCGGACCCGACGGCCGCGGATGTCCCCGCGCCGGCCCCGACGGCTGGCCCACCCACGGCCGCCTCCACCTTCGCGCGCCACGGATACGTCGAGAACTGGAACGCGTGGGACACGTCCGCGTACGACGGCCTCACGGCGCTGCTCTACAGCTTCATCACGCTCGACTCGGCGCCGAACTCGGACGCGCCGCGCGAGGTCGTCTGGGACGGCGACGCGCTCTACGACACGATGACGCTCGCGGACGTCCTGGAGGTGATGACGGAGACGGACCCGACCTGGGACAACGAGCACGACTGGCAGCGCGTCAAGATCGTCGCGCTGCAGGACTACGCCGCGGCGAACTCGAAGCGCTTCCTCTGGGCCTTCGGCGGCTGGAGCGACCTCACGAAGACGATCGAGGACGACCAGGTCGACGCCGTCGTCGAGGACCTCGTCGCGCTCCTCGCGCTCGGCGGCGCCGACGGCGTCGACTTCGACTGGGAGCACCTGAGCCAGTACCGCGACTCGGACCCGGACCTCCACGCGCAGCAGCGCGTCGTCGTCGGGAAGGTGATCGTCGCGCTCAAGGCCGCGCTCGTCGAGGCGGGCATGGAGGACATGTGGATCTGCTACACGCCGCGCTACAACGCGTTCTTCCCGACGACCGGCTCGGCCTACGGCCAGAACAACATCATGACCGACGGCGAGGGCATCGACATCTTCGACTACGTCGTGGCGAACTCGGCGTACGGCGTCGACGCCGTCGACTACGTCCACCTCATGATGTACGACCTCGACGCGACGACGGCCTTCGCGGACGCCACGGAATCCTACTTCGTCCAGGCCCACTACGACGCCGTCGTCCAGTCGCACGTCGACTACGGCATCCCGCTCGAGAAGATCGTCATGGGCTTCGAGCCCGGGCCCCAGGCCTACACGGGCGTCTGGGGGGGGCTCGACCACGACAAGGCCACGATCGACGCGCTCCACGCGGCGGGCGTGGGCGGCGTCATGTTCTGGGTCGGTCGCCGGCGTTTCAAAATTTTGTCTTTTTCCCGCGTTCGAAACCGTCGCGACGTAGGCCATGAACGACCCGAAGACCGCCGACGGCGCCAACGGCAACGGCGAGACCGTCGGCGCGAACTCCGCCGCGCTCGCGAACTACGCCGCGGCGCTCTGAAGACCCCCGCCATGACCCCGTGTGTGCACCTCCCCTGACAAGACCCCGTGTGCCACCCCGTGTGCCATCCCCGTGTGAACCCCCCCCGCCCCGAACGGCCTTCCGCGACGTCGGTAACGGCGGCTCCGGTGCTTACGGGAAGGCGAGCGAGCGTCCGCTCAACGCGCCCGGCCGCGCGGCGGCCGTGACGAGGGCCGGGACGAGCTGGGCGAGGCCGTTGCGGAGCTGCGGGAGGAGGACGAGCGCGACCGCGAAGAGCGCCCACGGCTTGAGCAGCGGCGGCTCGCGGCGCACCTTCTCCGAGAGCGTCACGGCGAGCGCCCGCGCCTTCTTCTGGCGGAGGGCGTCGCGCGCGTCGCCGCGCAGGGCGAACTCCTTCTCGACGGCGACGACGCGCGGCTGGCAGGCAACGCCGACGAAAACGCCCGCCGCGCAGCCCGACAGCGCGACGGCCGTCGGCGCCGCGAAGAAGGCGCTGCCCACGAGCAGCACGAGCATGCGCGGCGCCAGGTTCCGCAGGGCCGTGCGGTTCGGCGCGCGCTTGAGCAGGCGGGCCTGCGCGACGGCGCGCGCGCCGGCGAGCGCGCCGACGACGCCCGCGCACCCGACCGCGCGGCGGTTCCGCGACGCGAGCGTGAAGCGGAAGTGGCCCATGCCGCCCGCGAGCGCGCCCGCGAGCAAGGTCATGACGAGCACGCCGCCGCCGCCGCAGGCGCCGAGGCGGTCCGGGTCCTCGACCTTGCGGAACTCGTTGGGCAGGCCGCCGCGGTCCTTGTCGCTCAGCGCGAGCGCGGACCGCAGCGTCGCCGCGTCCCAGAGGAGGTGGCCCAGGCTGCCGTGGACCAGGGGGTACGTGAAGAAGCGCCACTTCTGGCCGATGCGCGCGACGTACTGCGCGCGCGTGATCGGGATGTCCAACGCCAAATCGCCGAGCAGCGGCGACTGCGTGCTCAGCGCGACGCCGCGGCTCATGCGGCGGTAGGCGTCGCCGTCCCAGAGGGCGCCCAGGGACCACTGGTGCCGCCGCACGGTGACGCACTGGCCCAGGACCGCGTCCGCGAAGACGCGCGGCCGCGACAGCGCGCCTTTGCCCTTGATGGCCTCGTTGACGCCCGGCAGCGCGACGAGCACCGAGGACAGGCAGCTCAACAGGAAGACGGCGAGCGTCGCGGCGACGACGCCGCGGAAGGCGCGCCGCGCCGCGGCGCGCGGCCAGAGCTCGACCGAGGCGCGCGGCATGTCCTTCGCCTTGGGCCAGGCGTCGATGTCGGGACCCACGGGCCCGAAGATGGCGTCGTCCTTGGCGCCGCGCAGCGGGCGCACGTGGCGGCGCGCCGGGATGGTCTGGAAGGCCGTCGCAGCGCGTAGTGCGAGGGCCGCGAGCCCGCAAAACCGGACGACCATCACTCCTGCACTGCGACTCAAGCAACCTGGGTCAACGAGACTTCAACGAGGCCTCGAAAGAGCTCGAGCGGAACAAGTTACCCCGCGCGCCGCCCTAGACGTCGAAGAACCCTTGCTCGTTGGCCTGGGGCATGGCGGGCGCGTCGGGCTGGAGCTTGAGGTCGTGGTCGTGCGTCGACTCGGCGCGCTTCTTCTCGAGCTCCGCGGCCCTCGCGGCGGCCGCGGAGACCTCCTGGGCGGCCTGGAACTCGAACTCCTCGATGCCGAAGAAGGCGATGACGCAGGGCTCGTGGTAGAGCGTCGGGAACTCGTCGAAGAGGCGCTGGAGGTAGCGGTCGAGCGACGCGCGGCGCGCGCGCACGAAATCCGACGACGTGTCCGTGCTGTCGAACTTGTACCAGCCGTCGCGGAAGGACTGCTTCTCCGGGAAGGGCGGCGCCTTGATCTTGTCGATGAGCTTGTGCTCGACGAGCAGGTTGTGGAACTCGTGGAGCTCCGAGTAGCGCTTGCCCAGCGTCTTGAGGAGGAGCCCCCGCTTGATGGCGATGATGTACTCGACGTGGACCTTGTCGCCGATGCCGACGATGACGCCGGATTCCTTGCGGACGACGCTGTCGATGACCTCGATGCTCAGCGGCGTCGCCTGCTCGGCCTCGGCCTCGGGCAGCGGCTTCGCGAAGAACATCTGGTTGAAGTTCGCCGCGCCCTCGTCGGACGTGACGTCCGAGAACTTGCCGCTGTGCTTCATGACGTCGCAGAAGAGCGAGTTCATCTCCCCCGGGTCGTAGCCCGCCATGGCGACGTCGCCGCGGCGGAAACGGCTCGCAACCGCTGCGGTGTGGCGGCGACGCCGCGTCCGGTGCGGCGCGGCGCCTGTGGCGTTCGGAAGCGACGCTGCGCCGCTTCTGGTACAGCGCAGAGCGGCGGCGCGCACCGACGCCGCGGTCGCCGCGGCCGCGTGAATCGACGACGCGTCGACGACGAGGCGGAAACGCGTCCACAATTCCTGGCGAGTGTCGACCTTGGTCGATGCTGCCGCGCCCGGGCTGCTTCTAGCTGCTCTCCGTGCAATATGGTGCCCTCCATCGTGCCGCCCTCGCCGCCACCCGCGACGGAGCTGCTGTCCGTCGGGGCGGCGCAGAAGACGCGCGTCCGACGCATCGCCGGCTTCCTCGGCGGCGGCGAGCTCGACGCCGCCCTCGCCTCGCTCCTGGCCCTGCGGTCCACCGTGAGCTCCCTGGCTCGGGACAAGCGCGGCCTCGCGGCGCTCGGCGCCTGGCAGACCTTCTATTTGCACACGGAGGACGCGCTGCGCGAGACCTGCCCGGCGCTCCACGCCAAGGTCGTCGCCGCGGCGGCGGCCGGCTGGGACGGCGCGGCGCCCGCGGGCGCGGGCCTCGCGGTGCGGAACGCGGAGCTCCACGAGGTCGCCGCGGGCGGCGCGCTGCCGGACCCGGACCACTACGACAGCGGGAGCTACGCGACCATCGACGTCATGCTGAGCGCGCCCGGCGTCGACTTCGAGGGCGGCCACTTCGAGACGCTCGAGGCCGACGGGTCCTTCGACCGGCCGGTCTTCGACCGCGGCGACGCGCTCGTCTTCTGCAGCCACAAGAAGCACTGCGTGCGGCCCGTGACCAAGGGCACGCGGCGCGTGCTCGTGCTCGAGGTCTGGTTCGGCCCCCACCGCACGTGCGGCCACCGCTGCGAGCGCAGGGAAGGCCGCTGCGGCTTCGCGCGCCACGCGCTCGCCCTCGCGGGCTGCCTCCGCCTCGGCCGCGACGACGCCGCCGCCGACGGCGACGAGTACAAGCGCGCCGTCGCCGAGCTCGAGCGGCGCGTCGCCGCCGCCGCGCCCGCCGAGGCCGCGCGGGCGCCGAGGAAGAAGAAGAAGAAGGCGAAGGCGCTCCCGGCGACGTGGCACGGCCACGCCATGCCCATGCTCTGGTTCGCGCTCGACGCCGTCGACGCGCACGACGCCCCGGCGACGGTCACGGGCGCGAACGGCGCGCTCGTCCGCGCGGCGCGGAACCTCGACTCCGAGAGCCTCGTCGCGCTGCCCAAGGGCGCGCGCTGCGAGGTCGCGGCGCTCGGCTGGGCCTGGGACGGCGCCGCGGCCATCGCGCGGCGCGCGCGGGTGACGGCGCCCGTGGCGGGCTGGACGTCCGCGCGGCTGCTCGACATCGCCGCGCCGCGGCGGCCGCGGGACGTCGACCCCGGGAGGCGGCTGGGCCTCCTCGACGTCGTCGAGGCGACCCGCGTCGACCCGGCGTCTGCGCGCTCCGGGCCCCTCGGCGACGGCGGCGTCGACGCGCTCCTCGCCGTCGGCGCGCTCGCCGACAGTTTCGTCGCGGAGCTCCGCGCGCTCGCGGACGCGACGCTGGGGCCCGCGGGCGGCGCCGCGCGGGTCGCCGCGCCGGCCGCCGCGCGCGCCGCGCTCTTCGCGAGCCTGGCGCCCCAGCTGCCGCCGGCCATCGACGGCGTCGGCGCGCTCCGCGGGCTCGACGACGCGTGGCTCCTCGAGAAGGCGCGCCGCGCGGACCGCGGGCCCCGGGCGGCGCCGGGCCACCTCCACGTCGTCCTCTTCCTCTCGGACGCGCCCGACGGCGGCGGCCTCGCCTTCCTCCGGCCCGCGCCGAGCGGCCTCCCCAACGAGGTCCTCGAGACGACCGTGCTCCCGCGGCCCGGCGCGGCGCTCGCCTTCCCGGGCGACGACCACCCCATGGCGCCCATCACGGAGACGCCGGCAAACGCGGAGACCTTCGCCTACGCCGCGCGCCTGCGCGTGATCTACGGTTGAAGGCGACGGTGCACTCTCAGAGATTGATCAGAGCATGGCGGGCGGAATCGTCCGGGCAGCCGCGCGTTGCCTCGGACCGTAGCATTGGCAGCATGGCGAGATGCGGCGCTGCCCCTTGATCGCGCTGGCGGTCGCCCGCTTCCACGGCGGCGCCTTGATCGCGCTGGTCCTCGCGCCGGCGGTCGCCCGCTTCCACGGCTGCCCCTTGGTCGCGCTGGTCCTCGCGCCAGCGGTCGCCCGCTTCCAGGGCGGCGAGGTGGACAGCGGCGCCGTCGAGCCCTGGGTCCGCGACCTCGCGGAGCTCTGCCCGCCCGGCGCCGACGCGCCCTGCGAGTTCCGCGAGCGGCCCGGCTGCCGCGACGGCCTGCGCGGGCGCTACGGGCTGCCGGAGCGCGCCTTCGCGGACCGGGCGCTGCCCATCGCGACGCCCGAGAACGCGCGCCTCTTTCCGCCGCGCTTCGACGCGCGGGGGCGGCTGGAGCGCTTCGCCGTCGTCAACGCGACGCTCCTCCGCTACCGGCTCATCCGGAAGAGCGGTAGCCGGCTCATGCTCGACTTTGTGAGCGCGCTCGCGGCCGCGGAGCGCGCGGCCGGCCGCGACGCGGCGGCCGCGCGCCGCGCGACGCGCGTCGTCGACTTCACCTTCGTCGCCGAGCCGTTCTCGCGGCTGCTGTCCGGGTACCACGAGATCGACGGCGCTCGCTGCCCGTCGTCGGCGCGCGGGCCCGGCTGGCACTGCGGCCGGGCCTACAAGCTCGAGGCGCCGGGCAGCCGCGCGCGCTTCGAGGCCTTCGTGCGCGAGGTCTTGCCCGAGGACTTCGACCCGGCGCGCCTCGACGACGCGATCAGCTACCACGTGGCGTCGCAGGCCTCCGCGGTGTCGCCCTACCGCCGGTTCGACTTCGTCGGCCGCCTCGAGACGCTCCGCGCGAGCGTCCTCTCGCTGCTGTCCCTCGCCGTCGACGACCCGGAGCGCTACGCGTCGCGGCTCGCGGGCCTGCTCGTGCAGAAGCACGCGCGGCCGCGGGGCGCGAACGGCACGGCGCCGCAGGCGTCGCGCGCGGACGCGGGCTGCCTCTCGAACGAGACGCGGCGCCTCATCCTCGCGCGCCTCGGCCAGGACTACCGCTGCTTCGGCTACGACGCCGCCTACCTCGAGGGGGGCGTCCGGGCGTCGCGATGTTCGGAAGTCCGGTGGTAAAACAGACAGCAAAAATACGAGGGGGAGGGAGGGGGTCCTACTTCTTCGCCTTCGACGACGAGGGGAGCACGCCGAGGCCCTTGAGGCAGCCGACGCCGATCTTGTACCACCAGTAGTAGTTCATCACCGTCGCCAGCCCGAGCATGCCCAAGAGATAGGCGAGGAGCACGCGCGGCTGCTTCGCGAAGTCGGGCCACCACGTGTAGATGGCCGCCGCCGTCACGGGCGAGAGCAGGATCCGCGACGGGATGTAGCTCAGGAACAGCGCGGCGCCGTTTGCCGTGCGGCACCGCTGCCAGCCCAGCTTCTCGCAGAAGAAGACGTTGTTCAGGAAGGGCGTCGACACCTCGGTGAGCACATAGACCTACGAGGCACGTTCTTTCCGGGCGGTGGCGCGCGCGAGCGGACGCGGGCGGGGACGCAGTAGATGAAGCCGCAGCGCGCGTAGGACCAGGATAAAAAGTAGCCGACGAAGCCGAAGACGTGGTGCGCGAGGATGAGCGGGCCGCCGTCGAGCCTGCCGTGCGTCGCGTGATTTTTTAGCATGTCCAGCAGGTCGTAGAAGAGGAAGCCGCCCGTGTTCGCGAGCGCGAGCTCGATGGGCCGGCTCCGCAGGTAGACGACGGATTCGACGCACCAGAAGCAGTCGACGGCGACGAGGGCGTGCGTCGCGAGGCAGAGCGCGACGAAGACGTGCACCTGGCTCACGACGCGGCTCAGCCACTGCGCCTTCTCGAAGGGGGGCAGCGCTTCAAAGGCCTGGAAGGGCGTGCTCAGCGGCTCGGCGACGGCCTTGCCGACGACGCCGTAGGCTGCCGCGAAGCCGAAGAAGGCCGCCAGGTGGTAGCGCTCGAGGTGGATCGGTGCCGCCGCCTCGTTCGCCACCCACGATCCCGAACGCGCCTCCATGTTCTGGGGTTGACGTCAACGTTAGGAACCTTCGGCTTCCCAATGGGCAGCCGCATGGATGGCATCGTGGCGGAGTTGGAAGGATGATGCGTCGCGCCGCCGCGACGCTCATGGCGGCCGTCGCGACCGCGAGGGCCTGCCTGCTTCCGCGGCCTCTCGTCGTCCTCAAGTCGGGCCGGAGCGCGTCGACGAGCATGGCTCGCGAGCTCGCGGCGATCACGAGTTGCCCGGAAAAACAAGAGATCGTCCATGTTCACAAGGAAGGAAGACAAAACGCGAGCTGCGCGCGCCAGGAGGCAAAATGGCGCAAAGCCCTGGCCGCGCCGCAGGTCATCACGCACAATCCGGTCACGGTGGCGGGCGGCTGCTTTGGCACGCACGCGGCGGACGGCGCGGGCGCGAGACGTCTGGCCCGGATGCTCCAAAGTTCGAACGCGACCGTCGTGTCGTGGACGCGTCGGAACAGCCTGCGCGTCGTCCTGGCCGACATGTGCGCGTCCAACACCGGCGACAACAGCGGGTCCGCGAGCGCCTGCTACCCCTGGCGGACGGCGGACTACTCGCCCGAATACGTGGCGTCGCGGACGGCGATCGAATACGGGAAGCGACAGAAGATCGTCTCCATCGCGGCCGACGCGGGCGGCGTCGCCGACTTCGACTTTGAGACGTTCGCCGCGCACGCGGCCGCGACGCTGATGGCGCTCTTGGGCCACGTCCTCGGGCCCAAAGCCGCGGCCGCGGCCGTCGCCGCGAAGCCGCCGACGCAGATGAGCGACTCGTCGGCGCCCGTCGAGGCCGCGTTCGACAGGCCCGAGCTCGTCCTGAGCGCGCTGAAGCGCGCCTGCCTCGACTGGACGTTCTTCGGCGGCTCCTGGGAGAACGCGCGCGAACCCCGCGCGCCCTGCCCTGCCAGTTTATCTTCGGCGCGTTCGGCCACGTCGGCCGCGGCGGCCGCCGCTAGACCTCTCTAGGGCCTGGCTTAACATATCCCGCCGGTGACCCGGGGTCGTGACAGCTCATGTTACTAACGAGCGGGGCAAGAGGACGTGTGGACAGAGGGGCGGCCGACGTCCGCGCGGAGAAAAAAATCTCCGCCGGAGCTGACCCGCGCGAATCAGCGCGAAGACGTGGCGCGAGAGCGCCGCCGTGGACGTGCAACGCGGCCGCAGATCGCGCGCGGCGGCCGCCGGCGCCGACGGCGCCGGCGGGACCGAGGGCGAGGAGGCGCGGCGACTGAGGACGTCGCGGCGACGCGCGGGCCGACGTCAGCGCCGCCGCGCCGTCGAGAGGCAAAAACGAGACCTAGGCAGGCGCGGGGCTGACGAAGGCGCTCCGCGGCGCCGTCGCGGCGGGCGCGCGCGCGGAACTCTCGTGTCGTCGGAATAACCCGGTCCTAAGCAGAGCCATTTTGGCCTGAGACGGCACTTCCTATATTGTATATTAAGGTCGATCTCGTCACTCGAACACACACCAAGTCGCTGATTGGACGCCGGGACCGCACGCAAGCCAGCCGCTGTTACGTGCCGTCGTCGTCGTCGGCGGGCGCCGGCGCCTTGTTCAACGCGTCGGGGTCGAACTTCCACATGCTCTTCGTGATCATCCCGGAGGGATCGCAGCAGGGGCATCCAGGGGTGCTCGCGTGCTTCTCCCGGTAGCGGCGCGCAGCGCCAGGACCTCGCGGCATCAGGCGACGAGCGATGCGCTTTGGCAACAGACCAGCGGCGCATCGCGTTGCGTTTGATGGTGCCGAAACCTTGAATGGGCGGACGATGCGTGTGCTGATGCGGCTCTGGCCCCTCGTCGCGCAGCTCCTGCGACATGCGTCCGCGTCGACGATCCTCGGCGCCGGGCCCGGCACGACGGGCACGCGGTCCGTGGCCGAGGCCCTCGTGCAGTTCGGCTTCAGCGTGAGCCACTTTGGGTGGTACTGGAACGCGACGGCGTCGGTGCGCTGCCCCATGCCCTACGCGAACAGCACGCACGTGCTCGGGCTGCGGCTCTGCGCGCTGCGCGAGCGCGCGGGGCGCGACGCCGAGTTGCTGCCCCTCGCGGGCTTTGCCGAGCCCTGGGGCTCCGTCGACGCGGTTTTGGACAGCCCGATCCAGGGCAGGACGAGGGTGATTCAACGTCGCTTCAACGTGAGTGTTCCGCGCGCGCCTGTTCTGGAAAAAGCATCAACGCTTCGAGACCGTTCCGAGAGATGATCGCTCGTCCAAAAATTAGCCGAAACGAGCGGAAAACGACCGAGAGAGGAGCCTTTGAAGTTGGGAATTTCGCACCCTTGTCCTGCCCAGGCCCGATCCCCGAGTTCTTCCCGTACGTCTTCCGCCTCTACCCGGACGCGCGGGTCATCCTGACGACGCGGCGGCCCGAGACCTGGGTGAGGTCGCGGTCCGAGAAGCACGGCGCCAACGCGCCCGTGCCCGTCATGAACCTCTTCCACGGCATGGAGGCGGACGAGTGCGCGGGCCGCGCGCGCGAGGGCACGCACGTCGCGCGGTGGCCGCTGGAGACGGCCGCGCTCGCCTACGAGTTCCACAACAGCTACGTGCGCGCCGTCGTGCCGCGGCGCCAGCTCCTGGACCTCGACCTCTTCAACGAATCCGCGAAGAGCAGCTGGCGCAAGCTCGCGGCCGGAGCCGAACTCAAATCTTCAACCCGACTTCAATGTGAGCGTATGCGACAGTTTCGACGCGAGGCTTTCTGCTGTGCTTCGAGAACTCGACGAGAGCGATCGACTTGTCCAAAAGTCAGCCGAATCGACTTCGATTTGGTCGAGCTCGAGAGGTTTGACGTTTTTGTTGGACGGGGCGTTCCATTGGTTGATTCCACACAGGCTCGCGGCGTTCCTCGACCGGCCCGTGCCGGCCAGGGCCTGCCTGGCGGCGTCCTGCCGCTTCCCGGAGCTGCTCCACCGCGCCAACGACAAGCCCTACCAGCTGCCGACGCCCAAGGCGAACCTGGACCGCGCCGAGGGCCGGCGGCACTGCCGCCTCTGCGGCGCGGCCTGCCTCGACGACCCCGTCTCCCTCGGCTACCAGCCGGCGAAGCGCGGCAAGCTGCTCAAGCGGCCGCCCTAAAGCTACAGTTTTAGGTCCTCCTGGGCGTTGCCCAGATAGCAGAAGCCGAACTCGTCGCCGTCGTCGAGGTCGCAGGCCGCGACCGTCATGTCGTCCGTGAACGTGTTGTACTTGCTGTCGATGATGCGCGTGCCCATCTTCCCCCGCGCGGGCACGATGCTCTGCCACCGCAGCTGGCCGCCGTTGGGCGCCACGAAGTCGCCGACCTTCCGGCGGCACTCGAGGATCGTCGTCTTCGTCCTGACGGCGAGGTCGAAGAAGGGGCTGCCGTCGTGCGGGTTCACGATCTTCAGCGTGACGGGCTCGTCCTTCCGCTCGACGAGCGTGCCGAAGCCGAGCGCGCTGCCGTCGATCAAGCAGAACTCCGCGGCGCCCAGCTTGACCCAGCCCTGGCTCTGGGCTTTGACGACCAAGGTCTCGCCCTGTTTCCTGGTTCCCACCAAGCGAGACTTCACGTCCGGCTTCGCGCGGACGGCGACCATCTTGTGGACGACGACCCAGTTCTGCGGCTTCCGCGGGCCGCGCGTGTCCTCCTCGTCGAAGGCGCTCATGAGCGGAGTTCGCCGCGTTTCACCGCCTCTCGGACGCGCGGCGTGCAGTCTTGCCGCGCTCGTCACGGCGCGGCAGCCCAGACGGTGGCGGAGAGCATTCAACAAACCAATGTTGAGCCTCACCTTAAGGCCTTGAGGCATAGCCTGTGTCAATTCCCATGGACAGCGAGGCGAGGCCGTGACGTGTAGCGCGACGTCCAGTCCAGCGTCCGCCCTTCGTGTCGTTTCATCCCGCGGCTGCCGACGATGATCCTATTTGTAAGCTTAATCTTTACCGATCGGACCACTTATCCGACTGAGCGACAGCATCGACACACGACTGAGGCGCCGCATAGACGCGCGCGCCTCGACGCGAGCCCCGCGCGCGCCGCGCCGCGACCCGCCGCCCGCCCCGCAGGATGGCGACGGTGACGCTCTACGTGTCCTACGCGGCGCCCGGCGGCGAGGCGCCGGAGCTCCGGGTCGACGTGCCCGCGACGAAGACCGTGCGATCCGTGGCCAAGGCCGTCGCCAAGCTCGTGGAGCGCAAGCACGGCGCGGCGCCCGCGGGCCTGCGCCTCCTCTACGCGGCGTCCGGGGACGCCGTCGACGTCGACGCGACGGCCGCCGCCGCCTTCGCGACGGAGACGCGCCTCTCGGCCGCCGTCGACGCCGCGCCGCCGCCCGCGCCCGTCTCGGCCGCCGTCGACGCCGCGCCG